GGGAGTGCAGACTGGTGCAACCACTGTGGAAATCAGTATGGAGATACCTCAAAGAGCTGGGACTAGAGGTTCCATTTGACTCAGCCATCCCTCTGCTGGGTATCTTCCCAAAAGAATTAAAAGAATCATACCACAGTGATATATGTTCACCCATGTTTATAGCGGCATAGTTTGTACTGGCTAAAAACTTGGAAACAACCCAACTGCCCATCAATTAGAGACTGGATAAAGAAAATGGGGTTTTTCTATAAAATGAAATGCTACTCAGCCATAAAGAAACTAGAGTCATTCATAGGAAAATGGATGCATATTGAGGCCATACTCTTAAGTGAAATAAATAAGATACCTGTAAATACCAAATAATTTCTGAAAAGTGTAAATAAGATCCAAATTGTATAACTGACAATGTGAAACAGGAAGAAAAGGGCTAAAGGTGTAGGGGAAGTGGGAAGGGTAGAAGAAAGGAAATAAGGGACAAGAAAAAATATGAGAAAAGGGACAGGAGCGCAGTGATGAATGTAACTGTACTGTATACTTAAAAAATACCAGTAAACTCAATAGAAAGAAAAAAAAAGAATTTATATTCTGGGTTTTATTGTTCACAGAGCGGTCAGATGTTGTACATGGACCCCGGGCAATAATCTCATGTTGGAGCCCTGGATTCCAATGGTTTTTGGGAGTAGATTTGTGAGAAAAGTGTGAAAAGGAAGTAAGAAGGAGGATGTTTATTTTTAATAAAGAGACCCTGCCCTGACTTCCTGAACCAAAACCAGTCTAGACTTGTTTTTTTTTTCCATTTTACACAATGTCCGTAACAACAGAATAAATTTATTAAAACCAAACAAACTGGGGGTTGAGTTTTGGCGCAGGAAATCTGACAGAAATAGAATCAGCTGCTTCTGAGTTGAGTCTAGTGTTTGATTTACAAACCAAAAGTGGATGAAGACAGACTTAGCCTTCACTGAGCCAGTTCTTTTTGTTTTGAAGGCACGATGCAGAAGTAACATCTGTCCTAGTGTCCACGACAGGACCAGTAAGTCCATCAGTTTTGCCCTTCTTTTTCTTCAAATTTCAAAGCTCCGCGTTTTGGCTAGCAGGAAACTTCATGGTTATTTTCCCCATCACTTTATTTCATGTGGAGGAAACTGAGTTTTAGAGGTTTGGATTAAAACAGTATATCCCTAACTTGCTGAGCAGCAACTGTGAGCGGGGAGATTCCATTTTAGTTCCTGTGCACAGGAACATAAAGAGCAGCTCAGTATGGATCAAGTCCTTTATGAACGGGGAGACTGTGGGCATTGTCC